TTTACTGTGTACTTTGTGAGTAATCCTCTGTCAGAGTCCCCTCCATAGTAGCCTACATAATGCATGTTTTCTGCTATCTTTGATGAGTGATAAAAAGACAATTTTACCATATTAGTTAGCCTACTACTTACAATACATTGAAGTACTTTTACTGTGTATCTTTTGAGAAATACTCTGTCAAAGTCCCCTGCCGAGAACAAAATCAAGCCACTTCTGCTAAGTTTGATGAGGGAATTCTTTTTTGTTGCCATTAGTTCTTCGTGAGATTGATCCTGTTGGACTCAGTACTACTGAAACTACCCCCACAAGTACTATGAAGTACTTACTGTGTACTTTTCCAGTAATCCTCTGTCAATGTCCCCTTCCGACTACAAGAATGCATGTTTTTCTTTTAATAAGCGTTAAAAAACCTTTCTTCCTGAGACTGATATTGTTGGACGGAGTATTTTAAGAGGATGGTGGACATGATATCAGCAATACTTACAGTCAGTACTCCGGCAGCAGCATTTTTACACCTTGGAAAGTCTTTAGAGTCTGTCCTGGATAGCTGGTCACAAATATCCTTCAGCAAGCACACTCTGTCACATGGTTGCCCTCTTATGATGCTGCTGTCTTTTAATATATAATTATTCCTCTGCCGCTAGTTCGTACCTCGCAGATTCTTCAGTCTCATCAGCCTCATCCTTCCATCAGTCCCAGTCAACGCCTCCAGCACACTTAGTGTCTGACTCCATATGATATTGTCCTGATGCTGTAAGGGTGATGCCCCATGATCACAAAATGACCCCTCTAAAGTCTGAGTGCCAAGCCAAGATCTCATATTATGTCTGTCATTGATGTTACATCACCCATTATAACAATTTGCTTTCCTTTTTCTCTTCTCTTAACTGAATAGTCCTGTCTTTAAGTATAACCCAATGTAAAGTCCTGCACCATTTTAAGGCTTCATAACAGGCATTTTTACTATGTGTTTGGAGAAATAACACAATCAATGGCCCAGAATTGTACTTAATAAACTATGAATCTTGTGGTGCTTGAAGAACTACTGGTTAAGACTGGTTAAGCCGGCCAGGTTATATTTAAGCAATAGCTCACGACAGGCCGTGGTATATGCTCATTATATCACAGCTAAGGGGCGTGGTTCGGTCCGACGCGAAGCAGTCTGTCTGTTCTGGATTAACCTTCATGCCGATCTAGATCCCTCTGCTTCGCGTCGGGCTCCTGATCAGCCTGTCGGTGTTCTTTTCCCCATAATGACCGCGTCGCTGCACATTGTCCCTTACATATATGCCTTTTTTGGACCCCTTTTTTGCAATATTTATTAAAATCTCACTAGTTATTTAAACAAACCACTATCTGAGGATAATACAAGCAATCACACAACACCCTTTATCTAGAGAGCCATTGAACTCCATGAAGAATGTATCCTTCCACACATTTTTTTCATCTGCTGNAAAAAGGGGGGGGGAAACGGGGTTTCCCACCTTAGAAAAAAAAAAAAAAAAAGAAGGGGAAAAGAAAAAGGGTTTGGGGTAAAAAAATTAAACTTAAAAAAAAACAAAAAAAATTGGGGGGGCAAAAAAAATGGCTAAAGAAAAAAAAAAAAAGGAAAACAAGGTTTAAAAAGTAATTTAAAGAAAAAAAGTTTGGTTAAGTTAATTGTTCGCCCCAAAAAAAGTTAGGGGCAAAATCGGGTTTTAAAATTAACTGTTTTTTCTGGTCCTTTTGAAAAAATGGGTAATTTCATTTTGGGGGGAACCATATTGGTTTTGGGTAAACTTTTTAAAAAAGTTAATTTAGGGGGCATTGGGGGCATTTAATTTTTTTGGGGGGGGAAAAAACACCACTTGTAGGAACAATTTTGGGGAAGGGCCTTTTTTTTTAAAAATCCAGAAAAATAGGGGAACGTTTTAAAAAATTTTAAATTTGGGATAATTTTTTTGGGGGGTTTTAAAAAAGAAAAATTTTCCAATTCCACGGGAAAAATATTTTGTAATTTTTTTTTTAAATTGGGAAATGGTGTTTTTAAAAATAAAATTTTCCAAAAAAAGGCCCCCAACCCCCCCCAAATTTTTTTTTTAACCCCCCAAAAAAAAATCAACCAAAAAAAAAAAGAAAGGGGGAAATTTACCCTTTTTTTGGCTTATTGGGGGGGGGAAAACAAGGGGAGCCATGGGGTTTTTCTTTTTTTTTTACTTGTAATTTTTTGGGAGGTTGTTTAAATAGGAAAAAGATATCCTTCCCTTTGGGAAAAAAAAGGGGACATAGGTTTTCTTTAAAAAAAACCCCAAAAAGGCTTTTTTAAAAAAAAAAAAAAAAAAAAACCCCCCCACCCAAAACCCCCCCAAAAAAGGGGGGGCGTTTTGGGGGTTTCCCCCAGGGGGCCCAGGGGGGGCAAAAAAAAAAAACTTTTCTTTTTTTTTGGGGCTCTTTTTGGCTTCAAGGTTCCCCCATTCTCCTCCTGTTTCCAACCAAAAAAGGGGGGGGGGCCCCCCAAGGGGCCGCGTTTGGGAGTTGGGAGGAACTGGGGAAAACCGCCCGGTCCTGGGGCAATCCCTTTGGTTTGTTCTGCCCCCAAAAAAAAGGCCTGCTTTTTTTTTCAAGCGGGGTGTTCCCTCCCAAGCCAAAAGGGGGGGGGGGGTTTCCTTGGGAATTTTTGGGGGAAGGAGAAGGGGGACCAAGGGAAAAAAAAGTAAAAAGGGTTCCAAGTTAAAAAGAATGGGGGGACCCTTCTAAAAATTTTTGGGGTTCAGGGTGGGTGGGGGTTGTAAAAAAGGGGGCCCCACGTGGGGGGCTTTTGCCAAGAAAAAAAAAAAAAAAAACTAATGGGCCCATTTTGGGGCTTAGGGGGGGGGCCCTTTTTAAGGGGGGCCTTTTTGGGGGCCCAATTTTTTTTTAGGGGCCCCTCAGGGGGGGGGATTCCCCCCGCAAACAGGAACCCCCCCCCCCAAAATTAAGGGGGGGATTTAAAAGATTTTGTAAGCGTATTTTTTGTTAAATTTTTTTTTCCTTTTTTGGACACTCTTTTTTGAATTTTTTCCTTTTAAAAAAAAAAACAAAAATTTATAAATTTAGGTTTTAAAAGGGGAGGGGGTCAAAAAAAAGGGGAGGCCACCCCTTTGTTACGGGCCCCCCCAATTTAAAATTCCCCACAATTTTTATTGGGGGGGGCCCCTTTAATCCCCAGGGCCGGGCCTTTTCCAAATTAAGCGGCAAAATTAAAAAGGGAAAAGGGGTTAATTTTTAGGGGCCCCCCCCCCCCAATAATCCCAAAAAAAAAAAGAATGGGTCCTTGGGTTTTGTAACAATTTTTTTTTTTTCTGGGGCCTTTGTCTTTTGCAAAGCGGGGGAAAAAGGGGGGGGGCCCTTTCCCAAAAAAATCTTTTGGGGGGGGGGCCATTTTTTGGGGGGGGCCCCAAACGGGGGGGGGGGAAAGGATGAAAAAAAAAAAAAAAACCAAGGGCTCTTTGCCGGGGGTCCCCTTTTTAAAAAATCACGGGGGGAAAAATTATTAAAAAAAAAAAATAAAAAGTTCCCCAAACTTTTTTGGGAAAAAGGGGGGCTGTTTCCCCAAAAAGAAATTTTTTCCCCTTAATTTCAAAAGGAGGGGTTTTCCTGGGGCTTGATTTGCCCCCCACCCCCAAACAAAAACTTGGTTCCCCCATCTTCACCATTTGCTGTTATTTTTTTTCCCAAAACAGGAAACAGAGGGGGGGAGGTTTAACCCAATATTGGATTGGGAAAAAAAAAAAAAATTACCAACCCAAAAAAGGGGGGCAGGGGGATTTAAAAAAAAAAAAAAAAAAACCTGCCCACCAAAAAAAAAAACAAAAAAAAAACCCCCCCCAACCCCAGTTTGAAGCGGACCTGGGGGGGGAACTCCAAGTTATTTTATTTTCATTTTCAAAAAAAAAAAGGGGGGGGGGGGGGGGGGCCCCAACGCTTTGGCCCATTTTGACCTTTTTTCCCAGGGTGGGGGGAAAAAAAAAATCCCATTTTTGATCCCCACTTAAAAAAAAAAAAAAAAAAAAAAAAAAAAAAAAAAAAAAAAAGTTAAAATTATTATATTTATATATGGGTCTATAAACCCCCAGGGGGGGGGCCCAAAAATTTATTTTTTACCTAATTTTTTTTTTTTTTTTTTTTTTTACTATTTGTAAAACCGGGGGGAAAAATTTTTTAGGGTTTTTTTTACGGGGGGGTTTTTGGTTTGTGGGAAAAAGGGGAAACCCCAGGGGGGAAGTTGGGGGTAAAAAAAAAGGGCTTGAAGTTAAGGGGAAAATGCCAAATTTTTCCCCCCCCCCCAAATTTTCTCCCCAAAGGGACAAAAACTTATTTGGGGGAATTAAAAAAAAATTCCCAATTTTAAAAAAAAAAGGCCCAAACCAAAAAAAAAAGGGGAAAACAAATTTTTCTTTGTGGGGCACAAAAAACCCTTTTTAAAAAAATTTTTTTTTTTGGATTTTTTCAAAAAACCAAATAAAAAAAAAACCCCAAAAAAAACCAAGCAAAAATTAAAAAAGATTTGAAAAAAAAAAAAAAACCCCCAAAAAAAAAAAAGGCCCCTGGGATCCCCCCCAAAAACTTAGTTTTTTTTTTTGATCTTTTTAATTTTTTTTTTCTAAAAAAAAAAGGGGTTAGTGCAAAAGTCCCCCAATGGGTTTTTTTTTGCCTAATTTTTTAAAAAAAGCCTCCTGAACCTTAAAAAAAAAAACAAGGGAAAAAATTTTTTCCCCTTTTGTTTTATTTATTTACCCCCTGTAATTTTTATAAGTTTTTTAAAAAACAAGGCCTTTCAGTTGGGAAAAAGGGGGAGGGGAAAAACAAAAAAAAAAAAAAAAACCCCACTTTTTGAAAGGTTTTTTCAAATTTTGTTTTTTAAAAAATTTTTTTCCTTTTATTGGCTTTTTTCCATTCCCTTTTGGGAAAAAAAAAAAAAAAAAGCTACCCAAAAAAAATTTGTTTTTTCCAAAAAACGGGGTTTTAGGGCAGGGTTGGCAAAAAGGGTTGGGTAAGGGGGGGCTTAATGCCCTCGTAAAATGGGGCATAAAATTTTCCTTAGGTGTTTTAAAAGTTTTTGTTTTGGGGGCCTTTTTTCCCCAAAAAAAAAAGGGTAAGTTTCTTTGGCAAAAAAAAAAAAAAAAACCAAATTTTTAAAAAAAAAAAAAAATTTTTTTCCAGCTAACCATTATTGCTCCTTCCCATTTTAAACAATTAAAATTAACCATTTGGGTAAAGTTTTTCCACAAAAAAAAAGATTATTCTTAAAACAAGGGGGCCAAAAAAAAAAGAACCCCCCCCAACTGCCTGCCTTTTTTTTTTTTTATTTTTGGGTGGGGGGGAGCTTCCCTTGGGGATTGGGGGGGATAAATTTGGCTTTTTTTTTTTAAAGGAAGTTGGTGGGAAAAAAAGAGGGGTTGAAAAAAAGGCTATTTGAAAAAAAACCTTGGTTTTTTTCCCCCCCCCCCCCCAAAATTTTCCATTTGGGCCTTCCTTCGGGGGTTAACTCGCGGCCCTGTGTTTTTTTAACCACCCCATCCCCAGGGGCCTCGGGGGGGGGCTTTGGGCTTTTGGGGGGGGCAATTTTTCCCAAGCGCGCGCGGGGGCCTTTCCCCCCAAAAAAAGGGCCCCTTGAGGGGGGGCCTTTCTGGGGGGGGGGAAAAAAGGGGGGGGGTCCACATGTTAAAAAGCTTTTTAAATTGGGCCAGGGGACCGGGGGGAATTTCTTTTGCTTGCCCCAAACTTGGTTCCCAAAGGGTTTTTTGCGCTTTTAAAAAGGGAAAAAAAAAAAAAAAAAAGGAGGAGAAAGGGGAACATCTTGGGTCCCCCATTTAAAAAATGGGTGGTTGTTAAAAGGGGGGGTTTCACGGGGGTTTTTTTTTCCCCAAAAATTGTTTTTTTTTTTTGAACAGGTTGGGGTAAGGAGGGGCTTTAAAAAGAGGAAAAAAAGGGAGAGGGGGGAGGGAACAAGGACAAAAAAAAACAAAAAAGGCGGACCCCCCAAAAAAAGAAAAAAAAAAAAAGGGACCCAAGGGGGGACCAAAGGATTTTGGTTTTTGATTTTTTGATAAAAAGAAGGGGAGGCGGGGAAAGAAAGGAAGGGTCATAGAAAAGAATGCTATATAATGGAGACAGTTTGCCCAATTTTAAGCGCCAAAAAAACACATTTGGACACTGAAATTCACAATGAAACACAGAGACATAATAAAATATTTTTGTGAGGGTAAAGATGTCTGAACTCAGAAGTCTCTTCACTCAGGGTGTTTTTCCACCAGGCCCTGAGAACTGCAGCATTAAACCACTCTTAAAAAAGAATAATCTAGATGCTTCAGTATATGAACAATTACAGGTCCCATATCAAACCTGCCATTTTCTACGTAAAATCATTAGAAAAGTTAGTTTTCCAACAGTTGAGTAATTTCTTGATATTAAATAGAACCTTTTCGATGTGTTCCAGTCAGGCTTTCGTCCAAAACCACAGCACTGAGACTGGTCTTGTAAAGGTCGTCAATGACATCCACTGTAAACACAGACAAGTGGCAAACTTCAGTGTTAGTATTATTAGATCTCAGTGCTGCTGTTTGACACTGTTGACCACAACATATTACTAGATCGACTGCGAAAACTGGGGTGGACTTTCGGCAGACAGTTCTAAATGGTTTGAATCTACTTACAAGGACAGCAAAAAAGGTTGTTTCTATAGGTAGAATACACATCTAGTTGACAAATATGACTCCATCCTCGGGGCCTCTTCTCTTTAACTTTAACTACATGCGTACCCACTGGGCTCAGGATAATGAAAAACAACAAAACTAAGGTTACCATAGCTACTGCGCGGATGACACCCAAATCGTACATACCATTTTCACCAGGAACTATGCTCCAATTCAAACACTGAGTAAGTGCATTGAACACAATCCAATGATTGGATGTGTCAGAACCTTTCTCCAATTAAACAAAGACCAAAACTGAGGTACATGGTTTTTGGAGCCAAGGCAGAACGTATAAAAGTTAGCGCTGAGCTTCAGTCTGCAATGTTCAAAACAACAGATAAAGCCAGAATCTAGGTGTAGTCATGGACTCTGACCTGAGTTGCAACCGTCCCATTAAACGGTTACTAAATCAGCTTAACTATCACCTAAAGAACATATCTAGGATTAAAAGACTAATCTCCCAGCAGGTTTGGAAAATGCTTTTATCTTCAGTAGACTCGACTACTGCAATGGTGTCTTCACAGGTCTCACTAAAAAATCTATCAGAAAGCTGCAGGCTGATTCACAGAACGCCGCTGCTCGAGTCCTCACTAACACTAAGAAAGTGGATCACATCACTCCTGTTCTGAAGTCCTTACACTGGCTTCCTGTGTGTCAAAGAATAGATTTCAAAATACTGCTGCTGGTTTATAAAGCATTGAATGGTTTAGGCCCAAAATACATTTCTGACCTCCTGCTAAATTATGAACCATCCAGAACTCTCAGGTCTTCAGGGACTGGTCAGCTTTCTGTCCCCAGAGTCAGAAATAAACATGGAGAAGCAGCGTTTAGTTATTATGCTCCAAATATCTGGAACAAACTACCAGAAAACTGCAGGTCCGTTGCAACTCTTACTATTTTTACATCCAGGCTGAAGACTTTTATTTTTGCCGCTGCTTTTAATTGATATATTCATATCTTAAACTGCTCTGTAACTTTTATTAATGTTTATTATATTATCTTTGCTTTGCTTTTAAATGCCATTTTCTTAATGTCTTTCATTTTTGTAACGCACATTGAGACCCCATTTACACGCAAACGAACCGAATACGATATCAAAAAAGTATTTGTTCACACGAGACCGCTCGGGAGCGCTGGAGACGCTGTAGTACATATGCCGGGTCTGTAAGTGGCGCTGTACTTTCGACACAAAATACACCAAAAGCAGCGAAAAAGACCCCGGAGCGTGGTTGCCATGGTTGCCCTTCTGTTTATGCTCCGCGGTCGATTTAGCAACATGTAGTTCATGTAATTCTCCATGTCCACTTGTTGCTGATGGTTGTGGTAGAGGAGCTGTAGATTTTGCACTAACATCTGTAGCATGGTCGGTAGCAGTAGCAGTAGTTGGACTCCGGTACTGCTCATTACTCACGAGACGTTGTAAAAAAAAAAATGAGTGGGGGCGAACCACTCCGCCAACGCCACAGTCACCCCCGTCGTGCGGGCCGGATCAGAATGTCTGGCGGGCCGAATGTGGCCCGCGGGCCACCAGTTGATGGTCACTGGTATAGGGCGTACACACGGAGCCGTTTGGCCCCCCAGAGCGTTCCGTTTGCAGATCTGTCCACCTTGGGACCCGTTATCGTTTGCGGGGTCCGTTTCCGCGTTTCCGTTACGGCCTCGTGTGAACGAACGGGCTAAACGAAAGAGAAAAGTAGCGGATACAACCGTTTGCGTTCTCGTGTAAACAGCACATAAATTACCTTGTGTTGAAAGGTGCTAAACTTACCTTGAACACATGCCACAGGTCCAAATGCAGGGACTCAAAGCTTCAAGAGTAAAGCGATTTGAAAGAGTAAATCCGGGAGATATAAACTTGGAGGGGGGGGATGAAGGGGTCATGAGAAGGTCAAAGGACGGAAACAGAGTCTGAAAAAAAGCTGAAATTATACTCTCTGGCTAGAGCTTGGGCTGTGGAGAAAGCATTGCAATAGGTTTAAAGACAGAAATGTAGAAAAGTTATGGCTGGAGTCTGCTTGGGTGGCCTGGAGAATAGGAAGTCTGGAGCATTTATTTAATATTAATTGACATCCAACAGGACTATCCCTCCATGTCTGTCTGTTCAACTGTAACTCTGGCAGTCTGGCTGGTCAGCTTGAAGGGAGAACCACTACTGAGCCGGAAACCAGAAAATCAATTTGCCAGGCTGTGACGCAAAAGCAAAAGATCAGGATCAAAGAGGAGGAAAAAGAGAGAGAAACAGAATGTGAGATTTAAAGTCAGAAAGACACATATAGAAAAATAAAAATGGGAAAAGAGAGGGAGACAAACAATCAGTTAGAGACGGGTTAAGGAAAAATAGGAAAGGAGATGGGTGATTTAGAAAAGAAGTCGGTGAGACAAAGTTGCACACAGGATGGAGAAAATGCAATGTGGGAGAGTGCAAAAAGGGGAGGGATAAGGAGGCCTGGTAACAAGGGGGTAAGGAAATCAGGTACAAAAGAACTATAGTGAAGGGAGAACAGAAGTGAGTATCAGGAACGTTTTAGTGAACACAATCCACAAGTAAATCCACATGGTAAGAGTTTAAGCTTTTACATCCTCAAATGCAAATATACTGGTTATAAATGTATTGGATATCCACAAACTGCCCTTACAGGAAAAAAACTAGAGGGATTTGCATGAAATCACATGGTCAAGAAAGCAGTGTGGGTGTGTTTGTACCCAATTAATCAAGGATTTTGTGTTAAGAGTATTCCGCTGTGGAAAATGTTAATCCTTGGTAAAATTCATAAATACTGGCAATGCATTTTGTTAAGAAGAGAAGTAAGAAGAGTTTTAAAAGTTATCTCGGTTAAGATCTTTAAACCAGCATTATTACATGGCTTAGTTGAATACTCTATTCTGATTGGTCAATTCAGAACACGTGACACGTTGTTAATCCAGTAGTACAGACCGCTGTCAAGGACTTATTGACCGTTGTTAAGGAAGCTCAAATCTGCAGAAAGAAGTCCGGTCGATTTAACTGTATACAGTTTGGCCGAAAAGCAAACTGCATGCAGTTTGCTTTTCAAACTGTTTGCTTGTCTTTAGTTTTCTGTTGTCTCCTGTCTGAGAGCAACATGGAGGATTTTAATATAAATTTTAATATATTTGGAGAGCACAGTAATTTGGATGAATGGTTAGTGGCTGATGAGTCCCCAGCGAAGAAAAGAAAAAGACAAGAGGGACAACAGCGGAGAAGTAACGGGGCAGAAACCCTCAACACGGAGCTGCGGTCCTTTTTACGCAGCGGTCCAGACATCAAATGGCAAAACATAATCAGTTGCCAGTTACTTTGGCATTAGGGCAGGGATATCTAGATACTTTCCAAGGTTTGACATAATGAAATGTGCTACTTTTAAAGCAAGCAACGATGTTTTCAAATCTGTAATCCAAAAGCAAAAAAAGCAAACGCTATTGAAGCAGTTCCTGCCGTTGCTACGTAGTTCAAACGGTAACAACGGACTATTTTTCTTTGCGGATGCATGTCATTTTAAATCAATAAAACAATTTTTAAATCAATAATACTATTTTTTAAATCAATAATACTATTTTTTAAATAAATAAAAACATTTTCTAAATCAATAAAAGCATTTAAATTAATATTGGGAGTCATGTCGTTACTTTGTTGAATGTGGCCTTCCCTTGCGTCGGGCTCCTGATCATCCTGTCGGGTGTTCTTTTACCCATCATGACCGCCTCGTTGCACATTATCCCTTACTTACATTGCAGATCTTTTTGCTTATGCACATGCAAAAACAAAATAACAAAAATAATACTTTCGAAACATAGTACATAGCACTCACCAAAGTATTAGATAAAGAAGAGCAAGTTATGATTTAAAAATACATCTTTAACTGTTCACTCACACATATGAGCCAGACCTGTATATCACCTGATAGTTGATCTAATTTGGTAGATAATAGTTAATGTTTTTTTATGATTTGAACTGACTCATTTCTTGATGACTGTCCCAGTCAGCATATTCATGTGCCAAATTGAAGAATATGAATAAACCCCTTACCATGGACAGTTTAGGCTGTTTCTGTAGCCTTGGGTTTTCCTGCAGGAAAACAACATTTTCTTTCCACTGTAAATGTTCATTATTCCTCAGAGAGGAAGACCATTGACTGAGCTGGACTTTGCGCAGGGGATCGTGTGAGCGCTCATATGTTGTGTGTCTGTGTCTGTGTGTGTGTGTGTGTGTGTGTGTGTGTGTGTGTGTGTGTGTGTGTGTGTGTGTGTGTGTGTGTGTGTGTGTGGGGATCACAGGTGTTTCACAATGTATTTGTAAGTAAGTACACATTCCAGAGGCTGGCATATATATCTTTATGGACTACAATTGAACTTCACATGACATATTATTTATATTCACCGTTTTGTGTATTGCCTTGAAGTGCTGTGTATTACCTTTAAGGGTAAGACCTCCTTGTTAATAGAGAAAAAGGAGGCCATAGCTTTCGTCCAGGAAGCGAGCCCGGCCACATTGCCACACACCCTCTTGGCTGTTTCAATATTGTAGTCGGGCAAGTCAAAATAAGGCAGCAGCAGCTCCACCATTTCCTCATTAATGGAGTCTTTGGTGAATTGCTGCAAGGCAGAGGGAAAGAGAAGTGGTGATAATGGTGGTGGGATTAAGAGGGAAACAACAAAAATAACTTTTTTAGTCAACAACACATGTTACTTATAAACAAAACACTGTAGAACTGGCTGTACTTACAAAAATAATGAATGTAAAGGTATATGAGAAAAGAAGGAGAAAATGCTTATTGTAGCAGTGGTTATTGAGTATAATAAGGGGAGCACACAATAAAGATGTAGAGGACATGAGACGATCAATTACACAGACAAAAAAAAATAGATAGAGAAAGAGATAATTAAGAAAATGACAAGGCAGAGCAATTCAAATACAAAAATGAAAGAGAGTACAATGTAAGTGAGTATAAAAGGTATACAATAAAAGTATTAGTTGAGCAGCAGTACTAGTATTATCTCAAAGAAGAACAGGATATCATTTAAGAGTCCATACAAATTATCTTTTTACATATATAGTCAGCGCCAGAATTGGGGGGGCGCTTCGCTGGTAGCTCTGGAATGCAAAAAAAACATTTTTCTCATCCTAATTTTCGGCCTTGATGTAATAACATTTATAATTAAGTAAAGGTAACACCGTTTTCACCCCGGTTACACGTTTCATTTGCCCTGTACGATGGGTGCTGTAAGTGATGAAAGTGGGATGTTGGCTTATCAGGCGCCCGCAGCTCACAGCCAAAGTGCGAGCGAGCGTCCAAGAGAGAGAGGGTGCACCGGTACCGGGGATTGTTGTTAGTATCTGGTGCTAGCTGCGCTAACGGATATAACAAGATGTTTCTACAACAAAGGTGTAGGGAGAGTCCTCTCCTGTCAGACTGAGAGTCTCTATGAGGTAAAGGACTCTCTGAGTGACAGTTAACTTTAGTCTAAGTTATCTCAGTGGGTCTTAAAAGTTTTGATCACAATGAATGTAAACAAATATTTCCAAGGCATACCTTTATAATAATTAGGAGAAATAATAGCGCCAGCTAAAATCATGCCTAGGGGAGCAAATTGGTCAGAACCGGCCCTGTATATATTGACCCACCAATGTTAAAACATTTAACATAGTAAAAGTTCAGAAATACCTCACATTTGGCAGCATCTACAACTTAATTAACTCTGAACATCTGATAGTGAGGGTACCTGCAGACTCCCCAAGAAGTTTCCAGCTGTCATGAGCTTTAGGGACTCCTGCCAAGACGGCGTGTTGCAGTTCTTCTCTGGATCGATCTTCACTGGGTTGACTCGCCTCTGGAAAAGCAGCAGCACGCAGTCCATGATCCGCATGATGAGGTGGGGGGGGCGACCAAGTGTTCGTACAGTGGCAATGTCTGATGGCTTGATTGTCTGAGTGCACAGAGAAAATACATGTTTACTGGGCAAACATATGGTATTTTCATAGGATATTCTATAAGGGGAGATAACAATGCGATGAGATCAAAGAATAGAATAATTTGCTTTTCATGACATCCTTTACAAGGCTGCAGTTTAAAAACATACAACGAAGGAAGTGTACAGAGAGAAATAAGACTGGCATGTTGATGATGATGATAGATAGAGGGAAATGAAGACAGTAAGTATAAAATCCAACAGTTCTGCAGAGGAGGACAGCGCATTACTTCAAGTGACTGAAGAAAATGAGAGCGGCAGCAGGAGAGTGAAGAAAATGTTTGGCTGCTTCATGGGCCCCCTCTGCCTGCTCGTCTCATCTCTTTTCCTTTTCGCACTGCTCTCTCCTTCCAGCTCCATTTGCTCTCAGATGTTTACTCGAGCTATTTATAGTATGAATCTCCAACCAAAAAGTCAGCAATAAACAGTCTAGTTTCTACTTGCCCTTCACCAAACTAATTTTCTCTTCTCACCTCTCCAGTGCTTTTATCGAAATGTTTCAATAAGGTCCCTTTAAATCAGCTTAATAAAATCCTAGGTACTCAGGATTGGCTGCAGTCTTTGTCTTGAATGAATTTGTTTTGGCAAATATTTGTCTTTTATTTGTATCTATGAAAATGCATTGTTATATGGTTGTGCTGATTAAGATAAAAGTAAAAAAAGTTAGTTTTTAAAGGAGAACTTAAAGTTGAAATACTTACACCGTCTCTGCATAGACCAGCTGTCATCCACACTAATCAACTATGATGCACTAATAACTATTTGTACTCTGTCTTTTTAACTTCATATCAACAATCAAGCCTGTTAACTTGAAAGTGACCTTAAGGAGTCTCATGTTACTTTGTGGTGTGAATGGCCCACTGAGGTTCTTAATAAATGTGTCAATCTCCTAACCTCAACCACTAGAAGCCTCTTGAATGAGTGTCAAAACTCACGTCCAGTTGTGTCCACAAAGAGCTCTAATTAAAACCCTCTATAGCACTTATACATGATTATCAATTCCAGACGGACTGCCTGAGGTTTGCCAGCTTGGAAATACAAGGTTTATATCCACAGCAGCAAGAAGGAAATTCTAATCAGGGACCTGCCATGGGAGATCTGTATGCAACCCTCTACCCAGGAGGACAGCTTTAATTACATCGCAGCTCCAGGCCCCAGAGCACAGAGCTAACTTTAGACACACCCGCTGTTGTGTGCGTGCACACACACACACACACACACACACACACACACACACACACACACACACACACACACACACACACACACACACACACACACACACACACACACACACACACGTCAGACTCTCTTTTAGGGGAAATAGTTAACAGGGGAAGCAGAGAACATCATGAGGAGTGGCACTACAGGACATAGGAAATGGAGGATCTAGGATCTAATTACGGTAGTATTAACTATCCTGACGATATGGCTCATATGCAGAATTACAGAACATGTCCTAATGAAAATTATTACTTTCTTATGTATTTCTTTTGATTGATGACATTTCCAGTGGAGCACTTTTTAGATGTAGTTATAGTTAATATTTATATCTCCCCAATATTAAAGTGTCGTTATATATTGATTTTAGGATCTGGACTTTTTATCGTGCATCTGTCATAAGTCAAATCAACTTTAATCACAAATGTTAAAAAGTGATGGACGCTGATAAAAAATTTTTGTATGGAATGAGAATAAAATCTGAATAGAAAACTATGGAAAGTTGTGCATTATCAAATCCCCAAATTTCAAATAAAGTTGAAAGGCAGTGACCAACAGTGTTTTAATTTGCTTCTTAAAGTTATCAATGTGGGATAATGTTGAATCTATTTGATGCCCATACCTGCAATGCAGCCTCTGCTTCCTGCAGAGCCGGCCGGGCAGATTCCAGTTTCTCCTCTGCGATGGCCTTGTCAGCTGAGATGCTGTCTACAATGGCCTGGGCCTTGTCCTTCACTTTCTGCACCTCCACCTTCACTCGCTCTGCGGCCTGGGCTTTTACTGTCACTTCCTTCAATACCTGGGTGAATGAACAAGAAATTAATTTCATTTAAAAAATCTGGTCATATCATGTTTATTTTGTTATCAGTCATATCTTATCCCGGTTGAGCATGTTTAATACAGTAAAGTAAAACACATATTCTGAGGCACGTAAATGCACTGCTGTGTGCACACCACCCTGCATATACACCTTGGCAAAAATATGAAAGACCAATATAGCAAGTATTTATATCAAGGAAACGCACACAGACATACTCACACAGTCACGGACAGTTTGACCTTCACTGCTGTTTCATGCCTGAAACCTACCATATCAGCTTTGTCATTGGCAACCTGTAGCTCCTTTTCTTTCACCTCCAGCTCCTTGCTGAGTGCTGCTACAGACTCTGATGCCTCCTTCAGCTTCTGGAGACCGGTGTTCATCCTAAAACAGGAAAATACCAATCCCAGCATTTATCTTGGACCTTGACTATTATGTGCCTGACTATGTGAGAGGCATCTGCACATCTACATTTATAAGATAATGTTTGTTGTAAAACCTTTAATATGAACAACATGACATCCCATCAGGCATTGCACAAACAATCGTTTTTTAATGGCTTGGGTGACACTGCTCGGGAGGGAAGGGTGGGGGGTCTGGGCTCATTTGCACCCTTTAAGTGTATCTGTTTATTTTTATTATATATACTATTTTGTATGTTCTTTCCCACTATGACTTTGTATGTCATTAAGTATGGTATTCCTGTCATGCTATGTTTTTTCTTTATTATTTCTTGTTGGCTGTTCTGTTTGTTTTCTATGTTGAAAAAGAGAAACATGATTTCCACCCCAAAGAAGTCTGCTTGAAACATGACATCCCATCAGTATGTGTCCACTGGGCAACAGAGGCCTGTACTACGAAGCCGGATTTTCGCTTAGTGAGCTAACTTCAGGGAAAACTCAGGGTTTCCGGTCCTACGGCGCTGGTTCTCTTCTTACCGGGGCAGATCTCCATGGTAACTTATGCTGAACGGCAAACCTAGGGGGTATACTACGAAGCAGGATTTTCGTTTAGCAAGATAACTTCTGGGGTTTCCGGTCCTACGAAGCTGATTCACGTTTTAGCGGGCTAGATAACTTATTCTGAACGGCTAGCCTGCGCCGGAGCAGGATAGGTTCCAGGATAAGAGATCAACTCAGTGAAAGCACCGCCTGCTGACCAATCAGAGCTCAGTGTGCAGAGTTTAAAGCGATCGAGTCATATTACAGGATAAGGAAAAAACTGCCTTTGCAGAAAAGACGGCCGGAAAAATCAACTGACTGTGAACGTGAAGATTAATAGAATATCACCTCCCATCTTCAGAGCAATTTGACTATTATAACATTAGCGTTAAGAAAGCTTACTTAAATATCTGCCACAACATAAGTAACCGGATCAAAGTAACATTACATACAGTCAGCGGCACTGCGTAGACATCGATGTGTCCCATTATCATTCATATCACATCATAATGTATCATATATTTCCTTATCTGTGTCAGCTTCTTGAGCAGTATCTGGCCGTGCAACACTCACAGTGTCACATACAGTATGCAAAAGTATTATTTTAAGCAACACATTAAGTTGACGAAACACTTGAGTCAAATATAATTAAAGTCATATCCACTCGTGTCTTAGACGGGGGAGTGATATCATGAACCTGTTAATGTAGCATTTCAAACACTTTTTCTTTACCAGCTGTATTCACCTTGCAGGTGCAACTATGTTGCTTTTATCCTGGGTAAAGTGTTTAAGTCATGGATGTTTAAAGTTTAACGTCTTCATATTTGTCTAATATTATAGTTCACTTTTCATTCAGGAAGTATGATGCTGCGCTGTCAATGTTTGTGATTGGTCAAATGTTGCTAACCCCGCCCTTTTCATGTGAACGCGCACTCAGCCGGACAGAGAAACCCTGGCTTGAGTTACCGAGTTGATAACCAGCATCGTAGGACCGCTTAGCGAGATCGAGTTTGTTTTGGGTTAGGTAAGCCGGGTAACTCAATCCAGTATGTTGAACTGGATTCGTAGTACAGGCCTACGTAGTCGAATGACTACGTACCTTCAACGTCAGCCAATTTATCGTTGAATGCTCAGGGATAGCTAATAAGTAGGAATGTATTCACGGAGGGAAAAATGTAGCACAAATTTCATTTTGCTTTTATGAAACCTGTGATATTTTAACGCCTGTGCCTTTAACAACAGCTTGCAAATTGATCCTTCATTGTCAGTGTCATTAAAGAGTCGATAACTTTTGAAAAAGATTGGGTTCAATCTGTGACACCCTTGTTTTAAAATATACAGGTGTAAACATGTTATTTCTCAGAAAGTGCACTAATTATGGCTAATTATTGATGCCTCACTCATCACGTGCCACCTATTGTCGCAAAGAGGAAGACTCTCAGATTCTACAACTTCATCAAAATCAAGTATTTTACAAACCAACCCACATTATTATTGTATATTAACAAATATCTAAGATAATCATGTTAGTTTGTTTACCTGTTGGCCAGGGTCTGGACTTCAGACCTCTTCTCCTTATAGATGGCTTTGTAGCCCTGAATGAAGGACAGGTAGGACTTCGGTGTCACATGGGTGGAGCGTCGGTATCTAGAATTTAATTAGATTAAAAAAGGATATTTCATGTCATAATAAAATACAGGAGAATCATTTCAAAATGTGTCCTTATCCTCAAATTTGCATTTAGATAAAGAGGTTTAAGAAAATGTTGTACCTCTGGAAGTAGTCCACACACTTCTCTGCCACACCATCCTGGAAGGAGCCCATACACTGGACTACCTCACCTTTAACTTGGGTTGAGCAGTCAATGTCATATAATGACAGGAAGTGTTCAGACACTGTAGTACAGAAATATGGATGAGGAATCATCAGAAAAAGCTGAATTAGGAGGAAAATACAGAAAGTGGACTGCAAAATTTGGTAACTGAAACCTGATCGGCAAATGTAAAATAAATAGAACAGGTTAATATACTGGTCGATACTGCAAAATGCTTTAAGAAATTGCAATTGATGGTTTTCCAAGCAGGAAAGACAGTGTAATTGCAATGGATATTATAGATTACTCGTGACATATTTCACAACACCATTGTTATTCTTCTGACTGATTTAGGAAAATATGGATTGCAGTCAGAAAAATAAATTGGGAAATGAGCTGCACAAAATGAGGGGCGTTAAGAATTTTTAAATTGGTATGTATATGAAAGTAATAACATTCCAAACTAGTTTCAGTATGCATTTCTAAGCAGCAGAAGTAAATACAATTATATTAGACAAGTTATACTGTGTATGAGGTAATGTTAGCAGTGAATCCCAACAGCATGGCTGCAGTTGTCCAACAAAGACTTCCCTCCTGACTTTCATTAATAAGAAAGCAGAAGGGCACACTGAAAAGCTTATTAAGTAATACATGAGCTTTTTTTTAGACCAAATAGAAAAATAACAAGGATAAATGGACAGGGATATATAAATATTGTCTAACAATAGCCCGGGAAAGCTACCTGCAACAAGAGCATCCTTTGGCCACCTGCTGAACCAGTCCATGGTGCACCCAGATATCAAGGCAGGGAACTTTAACGCCCGGTTGCGGAATTTTTCCCCAACGGGCGAGAAGCACAGAACAACGTGGAGGTTGTGTCGGACTCGTGACATGAAGTACTCGTAAAGGTTTTCGTTGGTCGGTGGTCGCCTCGGAAACTCCCGCTTCATAACAGGGATAAGATCACTGAGAATCTCATCAATCTCATCACGAGCGAATAGATTGGACACCTGAGGATAGAAAATATATCCATACAATGATGCCCATTAACATGATTTATTTTCTATTTCTATTATACTGGTTTGTTTGCGTTTGGTATCTGGTTTAGGTGAAAATAATTTAGTAAACGTTTTTTGTGATTTTTTATTAAAACAAGATCTTAAACATACGTTTAAATCTTTAAAAAAATAATTGATGTCTCCTTTTTCTGTAACATTTGCTTTGTAAGAAGTAATTGTGGTAATGGTAAGTTTGAATATGGAGATTCAGATCACCAAAACACAATTTCCGATTTTGTTTTGCTCAGCACTCAAAACTTACAAAGTACTGTTTGTCAAGGGTGTCAAATTAAGTTTTAATTTGATCACGAATTGATCACGCAGAGAAATTATAGCCCATATTTCCAAAAATGAATCTGTATTCAAGGCACATGGTGACAATTAGTGATACAAGGAAATTCTGAGATACAAATATGAATGGTAAGCAGCTGGTGGAAAAGCCAAATTATGTTCTTTTACAATGAGGCCTTAGATCAGGATGGTTAGATTTAAACTGATAGTGGAAGTTGATTTTGATTTACTTTTGGATATTTAAAATGTTCAACCGGTTATGCACAGAGAGTAACAGACAATTGTTGAATCATTGCTTAGGTTAACCTTCACATACTTCCTTAGCCTGGTTTTGACACTAAAAATCATTATGGGAAAAAACACACCCAATATGGGGATAGCTACACTTACTGCATCCTCTCACATTGCTTTTTACACCTTTTCACTGTATTCCTATTTACTGAGAGTAAGAGAGAGAGAGAGTCCTGAGGGAGCATGTGGTGTTGTGGTAAGAAGCACCATGTCTCCAACCACCAGGGGGGTATACTACGAAGCAGGATTTTCGCTTAGCAGGCTAACTTCAGGGAAAACTCGGGGTTTCCGGTCCTACGAAGCTGTTTCTCTTTTTAGCAGGCTAGATCTCCATGGTAACTTATGCTGTGCGGCTAACCAGGGGGGTATACAACGAATCTAGTTCAACCTATCCTGGATATGTTTTGAGTTATCCGGTTGACTTAATCCAAAACAAAGCCGCTCTCGCTAAACTGTAACGGCTTACCTAACCCATTATTAACAAACAGAGCACTCTCTTAATAACGTAACACTATCAGAGACTGGATATATCCCCCCCTCTCCCCTCTCTTGTCGCTACAATGAGGAAAATAAATTACGGGCCAAAAGTTCTCATTCATAACACTCCGTTCGATGTCTCACTATGGGATGCGCCTCAACGCGTATGCAAACAGAAGCATCAATCTCATTAAGAAAATCCTGATTGGCTGGTGATCTTGACGTCTACGTCAGGGAATTAACCCAACCCTATAAGTAGCTTGCCGCTAGACACAGCGCATTCAAAACACCTCCTTCTCGCCTTCAGGGAGCCACATTTCTCAAATTATCAGTAAGCGGGCTAGCTTAACGGCTCCACAGACTGAACCCAAAGCTAACATTTCGGTCGACGGGCCGCTTGCCGGTTTTACTTTTTTGGGCTTTGCAAGAAGACTGAGACAATATTAACACACCGAGTTAATAGTTGTAATCTTGCCTCATTCGGTTTCTTTCTTTGAAATTACGGTAGGTTTTGATTTTTCTTCGCAGGCTGGCACATACCTGGTTGCTAGCTTTTCTTCCCTCAACACCGACACCACGGTTAGCCGAGGACGTTTCTCTTTTCTCTCTCACACCAGAGGAGTACGGGATAAAAACAAAAAGCTGATTAACAACCCAGTTGATATTCTTTAAAGAATAAAATCTGTATGCCGTCGCTTTTTCCTTCTCGGATTAACGACCAAGGTTGGTATTTTTCTTCAGTAACGCTACCTGGTTACTAGCGCTGTCCACTTCACGCCGACACCCCGGCGAACACAAGATGGGTCACCCTTCTCTTCCCTCTCACCAGAGGAGTCAGGGACTCGGAGGCTCGGCTATGCGGCTGCGGGTTCTAAGATCTCGAGCACAGGCACTCACACCAAGGCCTGCTCGGCCCCTGCCTCGGGCTGGAACACGTCCCAGGAGGCTAATCGATAAACCCGGCTCGTGCCGGGCTATTGTGGGCCCGCTTCACCATTAAGAGCCCTCGCCGGCACGGGCTAGCACGCCAAGCTAGCTTGTTCGGGACAGGACCCCTCATGTCCGTGATTCGTCGGCCGGCATCAAGACATGGCTGGCGTCCCGCCGCAGAGGATTGAGCCCCGCGCTGTGTCAGGCTGGCGGCCTCACATAACAGCAGCAGCCGCCTGAACGAGGGCCCCCGCGCCGTGTCAGCGCTGGGGTCCGGGTGGGCGGCAAGAGCCGGCGAGCAGCGGAGCCCCCCGCACTGGTGTCAAGCTGGGCGGCTCCCAAACTGTACCCTCACCATGCGTTCCACCCGAGCGAGGATGTCCTTGGGGAGTTGGACTATAATGGGGTGAGGAAAGAGGATGGTTTCTGAGTTCTCCTGTCCGACTCAGCATTAGCACGAGCGATGACATCTTCGTTTCATTCGGCTCAGGGCTGCAAAAGCCGCGAGCGATGTCCGCTCTCCCGGGCCGAAAGCACACCAAGCTTAGCCCCTGCCCTAAGTATTGGACCTTGCAGGCCGTGCGTCAACGCGCTGCGTCCAGGCTGAACGATCCCATGCGCGGAAGTGCGCCAAGGAGACTCCAGATCTTGCTACGAGGGGGAAGCAATTGCCCCAAGCAGCGAGGATGAGAGGCAGCTCCTTCCAGTCTTTCGGGAGATTGCTGGCACGAGGTGCTCGGTCTTCGTGGAGAGACCTCCCTTTCAAGCCAACAGGGGGCCCCAATCAGGGTGCCTCCTCCCTGGACTGCTTTGACGTTATGGAGAGGGCTTCGGCAACTGGAACCGCTGGTGGCCCAGCCACGCCTCCAAACCGTAGGCTGGCCTTCGACACCGAGCCAGGAGCCCCGCCTACCGGCAAAGGCAACCCGTTTTCAGTCGAGCGATGACGAGACGTGCCCTTATAAAGCCGCAGGCTTTGTCCAGGGCACTCAACGTCTCCTCGCTGCCTGACCGGGGCCTACCAGGGGCGGAGCTCTGCCGAAGACTTGTCGAGCAAACCTGAGCCTCCTCTACCTCGTGGACGAGATCGCAGCGATTTCACGACATTTTGGGGGCCTCTGCTGTTGCAGTCTTGTCTCTGGTGCCAGTTCAAGGCCCACGGCGCGCAAAGCACTGGCGAATGTATGGTGCGTACAGGAGAGAGCCAGGGTGGCTCAACTTGCACGAAACCCTTTCCAGACCGGCGGAAAAAAGAGGATGTTCTGGCGACATGGGCCTGATGTTCCCGAGGGCATATTTGGCCTACCGCTCTAGCTTCGGATTGCAGCTGGAGATGCGAATCAAAAAAGAAGCGAAGACGAGCTCTCCACCTCTGTCTCCCGCTGGAAGTGGGTCCAGCCGCCACCTTTCAACAGGCTCCCGCGGCAGGCCTTCACTGTCAAGCTGCCTCACGTCCTGCCCGGTTCAAGCATACCGAAGCAGCAAGAGACCACAGTCCGTCCCGCGTCCCCAAGGCCCAGGCACGAGGCGAGAGGGGATGAGCTGGCCAAGAAGATCTCCGGCTTCCGGCAGCTGGCGCCAGGCACGGCCGACCCAGGTTTTCAGCCACCAGGCCGAGGAAGAAGAAGCGCCGTCCGCGGGGCCTGACAGCTCCTCTTCCTTGCTCCTCTTCCCTCGACGAGAGAAGCTGGAAGTTCTCCCTGTTTCCCCAGCTCTAGAACACGTTCCAGTTTTAGATGCTCATGTGTTTCGGCGGTGCCAATCATGCCCCCATCTTCCCGCCGCCTCGAGTTGCATGGCCAGGAACGTCATCCTCAAGTTCGCGCCATTAAGGGAATTGGACTTTAACGATCAAAGACAGGCAAGTTCCATTGCCTGTTAAGTCACACAAACACATGTCATCATTATTGGTTTCCCTTAATAAATCATTTTCTACTGTCTGTTTTCCAGGCTTGAAGCCAAGGGGCCGCAGTCAATAAAAATTGAAAAGAAAAACAAATTAAACAATAAACAGTCTGCTCGTCTTACCCTCTTTTTGAGAGGCCGGCCTACGCGCCTCTCTCAAAAGGCGGACATTAGAATGGAATTGTGCAAGGCACACCGGCCAACGCCGCGCATGCGCATGT